TGACAAACCAGAATTACTTTGGTATTTGATTTCGATGCGGCTACTGAACACTGACATACTCACCTCTTAAGTTTTTGCTTCTGTGTTCGATCTCTAGTGGCGTTGCGCGTCAACATTGATTATGAGTACAAAGTCGGATGGAACAGACTTCCAGTGAAACTAAGTTCAACAATGGTTTGTGATAAAATTTATCTTGAAATGTGTTTTAAATAAAACACCAGACATTTCTTAAGCCTAATCCATAATCCTGGAATCGAGACAACGAATCACTGGCGAGTTTCTCATCGACCACTGATCCCTTGATGGTAATGCACGATTTGTTTTCTTCAGTTACGATACAGAAGACCTTTAAAATTGTGACCACAGAATAAACTTTGAGATTAATCCCGAAATATAACTCAAAAAGCTTACGACGAATAAATAAACCTAAAACAGTTTTGTGATACAATTTGTAATTAATGGAGTAAGAGTAAATCTTTATATATAATACTGGAGAACACTAGTTTATTGTATGTATGCTTGATTTCATCACCACACAGTCAGGGTAACTTAGATAAAACCATACCCTCAGTGATCACAGGTGACTTTGAATTCATCTGTATGATGTACTTGAGTTTACAAATTATAGAACATCTAGTCCTTTATAGAAAATCTTGCTTTCAAAGTAGTATCACATAAGGAGACATTTTGTTACCAAAGAAAGGTAATCCCCCTTGCGTTGATAGAGTCAGACTTTTTGTCAGGTGGGTTGTTTACACCATTAAGATAATTTTCATGGGAAACTGTAATTTATGATAATTTCACTTTTCTCTTGTCGGAAATTCTCTGTCCCCACCTGTTATTCAGTGATTTACTATTAAGACACTGTTTCATATTAGTCCTTTAGGTCCTGTCAAATTCAAAAAAGCAGTCTGCTAACTAAGACGCGAAATGAAATAAATTAACAAAGCATACTGGTCAAGGATTGTATGTAAGACTGAAGCTGACTGTAAATATTGTTCGGTGTTAGAGTCTACTCATTCAATTCCAATCAAATTTCCGAAGGAATTTAACTTATCGTTTTGATAATTTTATATATTATGTAATTATGTTAACCTAATTTCAGTACAGTTAAATAAAAGGGTCTTGCCTCACTTTCTCCAAGGATTAAGGCAAATGCAAACAGATGTAGATAAACGCAGTTATTTAGAGTTATTTGTGGCAGTTATGTAGATAGATGAAATATCTCTAGTATCTAGAACAAAAAACATGACACACCTAGAAGAAACGTTTTGCATTAAAATATTTACCATACTTTTGCGAGTAGTAGACAGGTATGTTTTCATTATTACTGTGTAGGCAACAGATTTTTCAGATAAATAAGAGTGATTTCAGGGTATCTATCTAAAGTTCAACAGCTCGAATTTATAACATTGTAATAATAGTCACTACAGGTATAATCAATATATATATATATGATTTCTCGTAAAGCCTGAATTTATAAAACATTTTAAATGTTCAGGACTATAATATTGTGTACATTAAAAGGTTCGTCTTAGTCACCTAATACAGTACACTTGCCATCATTTTATAACAAGTACTCTCTTAGCCCTACACAGGGATAAAATCTTTCATCCGGCTCCAAAATATACTCAAATAGCTGTTTTGCATGTAAGGGGAAGTGATTAAGTGAAATCTTATATTTGAATTCAAACGTACTTTAACTTACATTAATTGCAATTCATATAAATATATATATACGGAATAAGCGCACTCCTAGTTTAAGCATAAAGAAACTTACATGCCAGCAGATAATTAAAAATATTTAATCTTCCCTAACAACCACTTCGTGACATGCTGAAGGTCATTTTATTGCTCCTGGTGAGTGAAAACTCGTATTTAAGAGTGATTAATAGTTCACACTTAATTTTTCCTAGATGAATATCCTTTCTGTATTAAAATAATTTGATACACTAGTAAATCTGATGAAGTAATGGATATCCTCAAAAATCTATTGATAAACATAAAAGAGCACCAAGTATGAAGGTGAAATCACACATAATGGACAAGTGTTCAGAAGAATCAAGTACAGAATAAACTCTGTATCAAGCAATTCATATGTATTTACCAAAGTAAATGCATTGGACAAAGAGAAAGTAGGACCTATAACTGAACATCTGAGTAAATTTCAACAAAATTGAAAGTATTCTGCAGTGAGTTCAGTCGACATCTGACAGATAACGGCCATGAAATTAATAATAAGAAAATTAAATTTGAGGTAAATTCCAGTTTACTACATATAACTGAAGGGGTAGCTGTCAACTACTGAAATCTTACCTGGGCATTCAGAAAGAGACTGTTCATAGTCTGGTCTTGTCATGATAAATATAATTCGTTACTTTTTTGTTATTGTTTTAACTATATTTTGTTTTGAAAATCTAATTTCACAACTTTAATTTTATCTTCATCCATATACTAACATGACCACCTTTTGGCCTCTGGTTGACTAAATTATTTGACCCTTGAGTAACGTGTGTTGTCACGTACATGTTACATGTTATCGTAATCATCCACATACATACACCAATAAGCTCATTTACACATTTTTCCTTTTTTCTCCGATTATGCCTCCGTCTACATACTCAATAACCAAGTGTAAACTTATACTGAAATCGTTTCACGTGACAAGAACCAACGAAATAAAACACCATATTTTCCTCTTCGATTTGGTGTTTTGCTTTGTTCATGTTCATCGAAGAGAAAACTGTTCATAAGGAAGACATGACGATAATGTATCCAGAAAACACGTTACATAGGTCTTGAAATAAATAATGAATTTCTGAACAGTTGGACAATACAGTAGGTGTGCATGATATCCTTTCCGAAAAATTCATGGAATACTTTTTATGAAACTCGCCCGCTCCTCTTAATTATAGAAATAAACTAATTTCATTTCATGCTGTCAATTCTGTATCTTCGTGCTTAACACTACTCTGGCATATTAAGCAGATTTAAAATCCTACCAAGATAACCAAAGCAAGTTTAGATTTAATGGTTGAGAAAATTTTAGGCATTTGATAAAATGATATGCATTATTTTGAAGTTTTTACATCAAAATAAATGTAAACCAAAACAAGTTTGTTTGCACTGACGTATATCTCTACCTAATGCTAATAGCATTATAAAAATGACGGCAAACAAAATTTTATTTTTCATTTATTGGAAGAAAAAGAACTGAAAATATGTATTAATCGGTCCAGAAGAAAGTTACCTTATAGTTTTAAGACTGCAACAAAACACCTGTGGAACAACTTTAATATTAGTAGTATTGACATTAAGGAGTGAGTGAACAGTTTTGGTCTGGTGTTTCACTTCAATGTTCTCACAGTTGCATAGCCTGAAGTTTTGAATTAGAGGTAGCTAGCTTTACCACCTTTTACATTGATATTGTGTGAATAAATGCCATATCGTTTTTTTTGACCTAACCAAACAATACTACTTTATTTGAAGAGTTTTTTCATGATCTATGCGTTAGTTTTGTAATTCTGTTAAAATAAGATCTGCCATTGATTGTAAACACCACTAGACTGTCACTTATGCCTCAGTGATGCAGAAAACTTCAATATCACAAAGTTTATGTATTTTCTCTGTCATATACTGATTAGAATAAAATTGTCTGCAGAATACTACAGGGAAGTATAGTCAGATCAGTATTGTAGGTGTGATACATTACTTAACTATGTATGCAAGTGACTCGACTCATTGAAACTCTGAGATATGATCCCGTTAACGATTGTTAGATTCCGTGAAAAACAAAAAAGCAGAGCTTTTAAAGGCCCTCGCATATCTTTATTACACTCTAAAATACAATGTTACAGACTCAAAAAGTAAACGAAAAGCATGCAAAGACTGAGTAATTACCTAAATAACATGCTTCCAGTTACACCCAGATATTATTCAAAGCCTTAAATGTTGGCATATGGAATAAGTAACAGCTTCAATAGTTATATGGTGTAAGTTTAATCGATTCAGTCATCAGTGGATTAATTATAACTAATATCAGCACACTATTAATTTTTGAAGATATTATAATGATAGCATTTTAGGTCATATTTATCTGTTCTTATTCAGAGCATAACTGAAAATCCCTCTTGTGTACTCATGACAAAGTTAAAAAACCCTTCATGATTAAGATACTTAAGCGTGCGAGTAGGAACAAAATATGAGATCCCAAAATCGTGACAGTGAATATATTACACTATAAAAACCTTACATTCCACATGTTGTACATTAAAACAGTATGCGCGATACTAATGAAACTAGAGCCACTTATGCACAATGTTCTTATAGGCAAGAATACTTCAGGATTACTACTCCTATGAAGTCAGTGCCTATCTTAATTCATCAGAAAAAGAATGTCAACAGACACTGGTTTATTCACGGCTAAGTAAGATTTCATCTTTTTATGTGGAGGGTTTTCTTCCTTAACGGTAATTAAAATATTGGAATCCAGTTATCCTCCTACTAAACAAGGGAGAAAAAGACTCATTGTGTTACACTATGAAAACTGTTTTAATTATTTATTTTGTACAAAATCCAGTGTTAAAAGAAAGAATTCAGTTTACGTATATAAGACTGTGCATAACGGATTGGTTTTTAGTATACATATTCCACTTTACAAATCTGTTCAGGCGAGAAATTCATCCGTATTAAATTACAAAAGAACTTTGTTAATGCATTCTCATTCGTATCCAGTATAAACAAAAATTGTTATATAGAGCAATCGCAAAGTACCTTGGGAGGGTAATAAAAGTAAAAGAAGCATGGAACCAGTAACAATCTTACATAATTTGCATCATGTTCTTTTTTTATTGTTTAAATGTGCCGCACGCTCAACTGTTTCATGCTGTAATTTTGGTATCCATGATTCTGACCAAACTGGGTTTTGGTCATTGTGCTGAATTGTATTAGATGATTGCTGTTTATTCATTGGTTCTACCTTTGCAGCACTATTATATAACTTATGAGACCATGGATAGTTTCCTTCATTATTCGTAGGTGTTAAATAAATATCATCAAATGTATCAATATATGAATAAATATCTGGTGGTGGGGGTAATGATGGTCCCCCACGTGTGACTGCTTCGTTTGTCGCATCAATTTGACTAATACTTACATCCAACGGACTTTGTAGTGCAGGCGTGTTGTAAATTTTAGATGATGACAACAAGTGCTTGGAATGTTCGTTTTCTGAAGGGGATGTATACATAATTTGAGAGTTTTGATTTATTTCTGGCACAGAGGAACTTGATGGAGAGATATGTGTATGGGTGGTTGGTGATACAGAGGATTCATCTTCTTCAAGATCTGCATGTTCAAAATCTGTTTGATTATCACACCCAGATGATGGTTTGTTACGATGATGGCACAAATCCTTTAAAGCGTCAGCTGTTCACACGTGAAAACAATGGAAAAACGAAGGGTGAGAAATTATCCTCATACTTTAGGAACAGAAAAGGTGTTGAAACAATACTAAAAAAATGACAACGAAGTATTACAAGCACAAACAATTTTACATGCTGAATTGGGATGCTACAAAATTCTAAATGATGGAGTCCTTAACTGAAAATGAGAGATGGACAGAAAAGTATTTGAATGAAACTTGAGCACTGGAATGATATGAAATTTCATAACAGTTCAATTTATTGGATGTCATCCAGTGAATAAACAGAATTGCCTATCGAATGACATTTCGAACACATTTCTTCACAACTATATGAAATACGAATCCACATGTTTAGAGCTTGGATTATTGAGTCAAGCATAATTGCAACCATGCGTATCTGGGAGTCATACTTCGTGGTATTCCTTCATTCATATCAGCGAATTAAAGGAATTGTGATATCTAATTCTCTAAGTTAGTAATTGCAAAGTATGTTACTCTAATTCTATTACTTCAAACTGTCGACCTGAAATTTCTGTTTTCGCCTAATAATCAAAAGTATAAGGAATAACTGTCTTCAGGTATCATGGTAATGCTGATGCACACAAATCTACTTTCAAAATGTTTTCATTGTTATCAGTGGAGTACAACGTTTATTACTGATAAATTTAATGCTTTCATACAAAAGTTTATTCAAACTGGATTTCATATGCAATAAGCAAAAATTTTGTGCAGCCTTAATCCGGAGGATTCTGAATGGATTCATGAAATATCTATAAGATTAGGCAGACTGATATCAAACAGAAGAAAGTTTCTGTCTAAAACACATGACTGACATTTCTTCTATTTATCATACTCACTTTTTGAGAAGCGTCAAAAAAGATTTGGGACGGTCTAAGTCTGATGTCCCAGATACTCATAGATTTACAGGCAAGGACAAGACTTAAAGTGGATACCGAGAAGAATAAGGTGACTAAGATACCAAACCGTCAACATGCAATACCGATGGAAGAAATCTAAATGAAGTCGTCCCTTCCACTTACCTGAGCAGCATCATCTCAAATACATAGATAAGGATATTAAAACCATACATAAATAGATTTGGAAAGCAACACGAGCGTCCATTACTCTAGAAATGATGTGAAGATCAATGGCATTTTGAGTGGGGCACAATACCCTAATTTGTTTCACTGTAATGTCACGTCAGTACTTCTTTATAGTTCAGTGACTTGATGCTTTATGAAAAGCATTTCCACAAGAGCTCAGAATTTTATGAACAGCTGCTTTTGCTCGATAGTGAATGTCAGATGCTCTCCAAGAAGTGGTGAGCAACAAGGGACTCTGGAAGTTGGCGACCAAGTTAACTATCTACGACAAGACAAACAAGAAGATGGAAATCCGGGTGGATTTGACATGAACTGAGGATACTACTGCAAGAAGTCACACACCTGGCAGGCCCTGGGTTGGCAAGCGACGAGTCGAGCATCCGAAGGTGATATGAAGGAAATTGAGGAAGAAATGAATGACTGTGGTCAAAAATGAAACCATATGAGAATGATTGGAGAGAACTAACTGCTATGGATATGTGTTGAGGAAGTCCTATGGTTCCACTCGGAACCCACAGGATGAATTATAAGAAAAGTATATTACAAAAGATTACTCCATAATGTCGAGAAAAGATTAATAAATCAGATCTCAAGTCTGGAAAGCACGCTTAGTCCTTTACTTAAATGAAAACATACAACACGGTTCATAACGTCTTGTGTATACAAATCACAATAGCTTCAAATATTTACAGTGATATTTTTGTCATTAAGTAAAATACCCTTCTGGAGCTAAAATATACATGAAGAAGACATGTAACACAACGACAAAACTTTAGAAATTTCCCTTGACAACAATATATATATATATACGAATACATTTACACAGTACAACGGTAAAAAGTATAGACAACATTTTCCACGATAATGTAAACAGTAAACTCACTATCGCTGAAAGTAATCCGAAAAAAAAATAAATTTAGTCAACAAAGATGAAACAATTTGGCAACCAACGATTACAATTATGCACAGTAATAATAATTATAGTTAATTAAGCGAATTCAGCGTGATGACATTTCCATTTCCGGTTGCATTCACGTAGAAAATATTTTTGAACATGGTAGTTTCAGCGGTGTATCACACTTGGTTCTGAGTTTTGTATCTCAAATGGAATTTTTTTGAGTTTCCATAAGATGCACACAGATGTAAAGGAGTGGTCTTTTTCCACTAATCAAGAAAGTGTATCTGCAAAACTCGATAAAAACCAATATTCCACCAAATGGTACAAAAACTGTCTGGTCTTCACGGAAGGCATCAATATTCCTCTCGATGTATTACAATAGTGATTAGCATTCAGCATGACCTATATCAATATAGAACAAAAGGTCTTCAGCAAAGACTAACTCTTCTCAGAGATGTCATTCTCAGGCTCTACGATCGCATACATATATTTTGTGTGATGTGATGAGACTGACGAGACTGAGTAGGAATTAACTAAACTCTCAGAAAGACTGTGTGAATCGCTATTAGTTTTGAGAAGAACGGAGCACTCAAAAAAGACCCTGAATGAAAATGGCTATCCGTAACTTCATAATTAAATCCATAAGCTATACACCACTGAAAATCATCACACTTTCTGCCCCTAAAAGATGTCAGTCTCTGAATCTCCAATTCCATGGAGACTTATCGGTAAAAATACTGAAAAACCGCCTATCCGATTAACTAAAGAAAACCACCTTCGCAACTGAACTCCAACCTACTTTCTTTACAAAATCAGTGATTTGCACAAACGGTAAGGACAAGCTATTCCTGTCGGTCTCACCTATGTGTATCTATATCAGTTCACCTGCTCCTGTGAAAAAGGTATGTCGTCTTCCCTCAGTGTTTAGTAACCGAACGTACCATCGAACGATTACCCTCACTGTTTTATAAAGAAGAAGAACGCATCCCCCTGAAGCTATATTCTGGAATACCTGATCGATTCTGAACACGAAGTGAATCCACAAAACAACTTCAGAGTCAGTTGGTGGATGGTAACTAGCAGTGGAATCCAGAATGAGCAATTTAGTCTAATCAGTTGACGGGGAAATCCGAAATTAAATTAAATAACTTCAGAGTCACCTACAGAATACGTGCAAATCTTGCTAAAGAAGTACGAATCAAAATCCAAACTATGGAATCAATGGCAAACACATTCTAAACACTGAACTGTAAATATAGAAGTTTGTTTAGTCACTGAACCTACAGTAGATCTAATCTATCTTTTGACATGATAGGTTATTTATTTTTTCTTTTAAATTATATTATTTTCCTCGCCCACCCCACTATTACATTTCTACGCACTATTATTATTCCTAACTTCACTCTCTTCCAAGTTTCGTTTAGCCCTGCTTAATCTTGTCAATTAAATTACGTCAAGCAATTTACTTATTCAATTTTATTTCCGTTTCTACCCGATTAACAATTTCTGTGTCAAGCAATTGCTGTCTAAAATTTTCAATTTTAATGACACACCACCGAAAGCATTCCTTTAGTTTCTGAGACAATTCGATGATTGGAGACAACCAGCAGGAAGCCTTGGACCTAGATTTCGTGCTAGTTGTCACTTGTCAGCAAGGCGTATCTGCGAACTTGAAGGAACTCATGTCCCTCCTGAGATTCGAACCTGTGTCATCCAGTCCTGCAGTCAGAGACGCTACCACTGAGCTATTCGGGCTTGCGAATGATTGTCAAGCTTGAAAATTACATCTCTGAAAACAGTACGTTTTTGCTGATCTCTTTTTCTCTTTACGATTCAATGATGACTTTTAAGTTGCATAAATCAATGTGCCTATTGCTCACCAGAAGGAGTAAAACATATTCGTTTTCCTGACTTCTTAATGAGTAGATATCAAATAGAGAACAGAGAAATGTAACACCACTCAACCAAATAATCCTGTCAGGTTTGTGGAAGATTTTAGTAAATCTATTCTTTGTACATTCTGAAATTACCACTGATGATACTATCTAGAAAGTAATGAATTCTTCCTAATTAAATTATTTATCTCGAAGACAGCAATAAAATCGAAAACTCTTTTTCACATTTTGTTTGCAAGTTTATTTTAATAAATATAATACATCATAAACTGTTAGTTTATGTGTTTCATTTATCTAACAATAATCTGCATATATCGACTAACTCAATTCACTTCCAAGTTTGTTTTAAAATTGATGAAGTAATCTGAGACCATCAATATTGATTGAAAGCTTTCATATAGACATTTGATTGTTCGTGACTTGACAGTTAAGAAGATTTTTAAGATGACTTTAAAAACTGTTATTAAATTACATGGACAGAGATACACACTGTTACCATGTTTAAAGAAAGCTGTAAGCAAGAATCCAGGAAATATTTCAAGTTTATAAAGCAGTTTGAGTAGACATTTTGTCTTATCAATATACATCTTTGTAAGGAATGTCAATTTGACCTTCAAGATGGGATACTAGAAACGGTAAGGATACTACGACGCATATGCTTTTCACTTGTTCAGGATTCTCATAGAATAACTGTCACTGACAAGAAAGGCTCCGATAGGACAAAAGAATGAATTTAACACTATATTTTCATTGGAAAATTACACACCTCAGTGTGAAGATTCACCACCGTATCCACTGGAAGGAGAAAAGTGTTCGGACCTCAGTGTGTGACCTGATTAATACCATGAATGCTAATTACGAAAGCAAAAAAACTACCTACCCCTAACTAATCTCAAAATATGGAAATCACTGGTGTTGGGCAGCAGTGCTGGACTGAGTCATTCCCGTTAAACCATTAACAACCTGAAGCTCAGAAAAGGAAACAATTGTCAAGTGTTTAGATCAATCCTATATGGATGAGATCAGCTACTTATTGACGTAAATTATTTCCAGTTAGAAGTTTACGTACTCTTGAAAGACTTCATGCTAAAATATCATTTTCATATTTAGTGCTTCCTCCCGTTTAGTTATCTTAATTATTTAACCATTTCGTCAAAAAGATTTATAATCAAAGAATGCATTATAGCTTGACTGATGATTTGATGCACTCTTCCATCCACAAGTAAATTGTAAGTAATAATGTGTGTAGTCTTCATGTCCAGTGGAGAAATAGTCCAGAAAATAAAAGTGTTGAGAAGTTTTCATACTAGAAATAGCACTGGTGGATAGATCTTTACCCTTAACTGTTAAGTAACCGGCTCATAGATTAGTTACTTTTGGAGATCACGACGGCTTAATAATATGATGGATTCTCTTATAGCTGCTTGTGTGAAGTAAGCTTACTTATTTTCACGAAGAATTCAAAAAGTTCCTAATTTATTTGATTTTTACATACATATGCAGATTAAATGTTCAGTTTTTTGGTTGCTGTATTTTCGTAAGATTGCTCACTAGTAAGATGAGTTTATATTCTGCCCAGAGAGGTCCACGATATTGCGTGTAAGGACTAATACTCGCCGATAACATTGGTTGGCGGTCGCGCTATACTTCGCGAATTGGTGAAAGTTAAAATTATTGGTCAGCTGTATTAAGTAGTAGTAGCTGAGTGGTTAACGAGCTAGCCTTGCGGTCTAACGGTCATGGATGGGTACTTTTGAAGAGCTCTCGGAAAGGACGAAGCATCGCCCTCATTCCTTGGTTTTCAGTAGTTCCTTAAGTGATAACAACTCGTGAGCATTGTTGACACCAATCAGATCCCTACAAACTGACACTTGGAACACAAAAAGGCCTGAACTTTTGAAGTATTTATTTGATGAATCGAATAACTTTTCTTTCGTGAGATATTTCCCCCAAAAAGTAATCTAGTGATATTTGTGAAGAGTCTAAGGGTTAACGGTGTAGTTCGCTACAACGTTTTAACCTGATTAGACTCCTGTAGAAAAATCTCTTCATAAAGCATTATGAATATTATATCGATTAATTTACTTTCGCTTTGATAGACTACCAGTGAAATGCAGAGGACTAATTTCACCTGCGAAGTTAACGAGATATATATAAACACAGTGAAGTAGATGTCCCAACAGAACAATAATTCAATAGTTTGACCTGGTATTCACTTCATTGTATTTAAACATCTCTAAAGCTTCACTGTGAGTTAGAAGAACAAGACAAATTTTTAACAGTGAAATTCTTACGGCAATAGGCACATTTGAATTTCTATATTTATGCTTTTCAAGTAAGTAGCCTAAATTGGTGTTATTTTGGTTGATGGTCAAATGGGCCCAGTGGATTATGTCCTGGCTTTTGAGGAGACATATGTGGGAATCGAGTCTCATTGCGAGTCCCATCTCTCAGTGATGAAGCATTAAGATCCATTTGAAAAACTAAATACGCATGTTTGAATCCACTACTAGTTGCCATTAACAAAAATAACATGATGTGAATCCCCAGACATCGACAAAGCGTTCTAAAAAGGAAACGACACATCAACAAACAACAAGCATCCCAGACCGACAAAATCAATCAACAGCAAATACAACTGGCCTTAACCTAAATGAGCGAACATCCCTATTTATCTACTATTACAGTTAATTCATCTGTCAAAATTATTGAAATTCAAAAGTTACGTATTTTTCAGGAAAATAGTGTAAACCGTTTACAGGCAATTTTGAGCTTGGCATATTTTTTGACAGCCAAAAAAATGAAAATCTTGCACATTTCCAATAAATCAACTTCGAAGATTATTATTACTCAGGAAAATAAATGTTTTTGGTGATACGATAAAAACTGAGAAAAAATAAATCTGAATTTATCAACTCTACACAGAAAGATAACCAGCCGGTATCACTTGCAGAAACATTGCAAATCAGGGAGTACTGGACTGTTCTGTCATAGTTTCACACTGTCTTCAACAGCATGCAGCCATTTCAATACCACACAGGCCATTGAAATCATGATCTTCAAGTTGCGTAACCTGCTGAGGTACAGAAACAGAA